AAAAATACTCTTTTTAAATGTCAGTAAGGCATCCTTCGTGGGTAAACACCAGATAATTGGAAAATGTTCTTTGCACACAAGATCTAAGTGTGGTTATTCACTAGACTTCATCGGATCAGTACAGTGAATTAGAAAAAAACTCAGCTTCCTAGGTGCCAGAAGATTCTTCGCCTTAAAAGTGTAGGAATAGCATTGTATGCTGAAGTAAAAGAGAAAACTCGCTACAGTCATGTATACTATCTGCCTTTATTAGCTCCTAAATACAAGTGTTCTGAAATGAATACTCAGCGGTTAAAAACTAGTGAAACTGCAATCCGATTAGACAACCCCGCTATGTGCTAAGACATGGATGAAAACACCGGATTCTACAGCTAGTCATCAGTGCCAGTATTGATTCAGAATTCTGATCGATCAACCCTTATTACACTGAAAATGGCTCAATCGAGTGAAACTATGCAGAGAATAGGCGGGAAGTGAAAAAAACAATGTAGCCTGGAATCCCAAATTTAATATCAGTGGAGACGACACTAAAACCCTAAACATCATTTCTGCTCTATAGCATAAGTGATTCTGCAAAGCGACACTCATCTACTACAGCGTTACAACGTGTTTCATCAAAGTGCCTAATAGTTTTGTATTCAATAAGTAAGCAGAACAAATGCAGATTTGCTAGGCTTAGTGAGGTTTAAATAAGGCGTTGTCAGGACGAAAAAAGATATCCCGTGATAGCACATCATAGTTTTCAATCGCTTTACAACCAGCATCATGGTTCACAATAATAAAATAAAATGTATGGAAAATTAATTATTCAGCTATATATGAAATAAAACTGCATACTAATAACCAATCATATATTAGTAGGTCAAGTAGTCCATTTTAGGTAAAGGTTGAAGTCTATTGTTTGTTTTTTTGTAAACACACAGTTTGGGATACATGTGATTAATCCCCAGAATGCTTTCATTACCACTAACAACTCTGAATTAAGTGAGGAGCAGTTATTAGTATATTGATTTTGCAACCTAACAGTATTAAATGCTTTGCAATGGATGATGGTGGACTTATATCCGACATAAATATATTTCGATTTTCTATGTAACTTAATAATAACCGACTAAATTGGAACATTCTATTGTTTCTATCTACATATATGCGCGTCACCACAACTGTAGGTGAGCTTTATTGTCAAAATACAATAGAAGCATAGGGAAAGGTAGATTTACTATTGATAACGAGTTGCATCGTAAGACAAAATACTTTACGACCACAGAAACAAAGGTGATTATTATTTGTAGTGTGACCCATTTTATTACTCATCATCGTAGTATACTTTCACTATGTAATTAGACTTTGATTTGTTTATCACTCTGAATATTGCGTGTTAACAATTGATACTTTTGTGGTCGCTCGACTTTTGAATTTTGATTACTGCGTTAATACACGTTCGTGCTCCTTCTCAAGTACCTTTTGATTTACGTTGTGGATGTTGAGGAATCACAACGTTAGGACACAATAATAAACGCGAGGAAGTACTAGGATATACGTGTACGCTATTTTGATCAAAAAGAGCACCACAACATATTTATTTATCATTATTATTATCTCCTTTAGTTCCTAGAAGAAAATAGGGCTTCAGCTGCACGTCTCCATTGAGTTCGGTTCTCTGCCAATGTTTTCACTTGGCTCCACGTCTCCCCACCTGCTTACATCTTCTCTTCACATGACCTCCTCCATGTCAGCCTCGTACTGACGACCAACCCACTGCTTCCCACTCGGGAGAGAGCCTGATTTGTGATCTCACTCACCTGATGGTTTTCTCAGAGTATGGCCAATCCACCCACATTTCTTCCTGAATATTTCTTGCACAATTGGTTACCGCTGGGTTGGTTCGCTCATTGCCACTAATCCCTGTTGCTGATCTTTTCTGACCAGCCATCTGATCTTGAGCAGTATTGAGCGAAGACACTTGTTGATGAAAATCTGTAGTTTGTGCAAAGTACCATTCGCATAGTAGTACTTACTTCACATTGGAGTTGAAAATCCAGATGTTATTTTTCCTGCCAAGTGCTGCTGATCTTCACACAGATTTGAGAGTAATGAAAGCTTGTCTTGCTTTCCCGATCCTCGCTTTGATATCCTTATCAGTTCCTCCTGTAGTTGAAACGGTAGGTAAAGGAGGTTGCTTCTTTCAGATTCCTTCCATTTATGCTGATTGTTGTCTGTTGTTGTTGCTGTCGGCCAGGAATCTTCATCACCTATGTTTTCTCTATGTTCACCTGAAGTCCTTCCTATCTTTGATGCTTCTTCTGCCAATTTGCTACTTTCCACTAGCATATCTTCAAGTTTGTGGTAGATCAGACATATATCATCGGTGAAATCCAGATCTTCCAAGTATTTTGTGTGGGTCCATTTTATGCCTGTCTCCTCGTTGCCCGCTTTCTGTCTGTCGCATTATCCAGTCTACCTCAATCAGGAAAATCACTGGAAATAGTAGGCAGCCAGCCAACCGTGTCTTACTCCCATCTTCGCTTCGAAGGATTCCGTGAGTTTCCCGTTGTGGATTACTTCACATGCAGCATCATCGTACAACTGTTCGATAAGGCATATAACTGTTGGCGGCACCCTTTGGTAGTAGCGATGTAGTTTCCAAATCACCTCTCAATCGACGCTGTCGTAGGCCTTTTTCCAAGTCCGTGAAGTTGAGGTAGAGAGCTGACTGTCATTCCAAGTTCTGTTCAATAGTGATATGCGATTTTATCCATGCATGACTTGCTTTTCTTGAATCCAGTCTGTTCCGACCGAAGATTTTCATTCAGGATGTGTTAAACAAGAATTGTATCAGATGAGTGAAGCAAGACGTTCTCAAACTACTTTTTTTAACACCAACCGCTTAAGACCATGAAATGTGGGACAGTTGAGTACATCTCCTACATATACAAAGATCTGGCTTCTCTATTTGAGTGCCTAAAGCTTCAGACATCCGACAGACGAAGCTAACACACATACACTAACTCGACAACGTTGTTTGTTTGTTTGTGTTTCGATGATAATAGTTGTTACACTATCAACACTAACGCAGAAATTAGTCTTCTCCGCAACGATAATGGGCTTTCAAAGGAATTCGAACATGTTATCAATATTGTATCACTGTGTTTATCAGATAGAATTATCCTCCTTCTCTACTATTACACTAGCACAGTGGCCAAATTCAATTCTTATATAATATACGGGATTATATTCTACTACAGTTCCAAAACCACATTCTTATATTCTTTATATTCAAACGATATCTCGATTCTATCGTGACGACTTCTTAAGCTGGTCACTACTTAATAAACCTCTATTACTTTCATACGAACTGCATCTATATAAACTAGTGTATGTTGATTGGGCTATGTCAATACTTCGTATGCACATCACTATTTCAGTGAGAAGATTGACTTAATGACTGGTTTCAACATAGAAGTTTGCACAGAGGTGCAGCAGCATGCCGAATTGCCATTCTCCTTCTTGCAGCACACAAAACAAGAGAAGAGCGATAACAAACAGAAATTCCAAGCAAAAAGAATAGTAATATGGAAGAACAATAGAATTTCATTGGATATTATAATAATCACAAAGAGTAAATGCATCTGCGCCAACATTAAGAACAATTTTGAGTCATATCAATTGGATCCAGTGTTCATTGGTTCTTACCATCCTGTAAACTCCAGTCAGGAAGTTTACATCTCCCGATGTGGCTAAGGCTAACTGTTGTGGATTTCATTCACTGATGAAGCCATATTTTGGTTTGACCACAAACTAGCCCTTTTCCAAACTGATCCTATGTCAGCTAACATTGCCCGTCGAGGAAGGCGACGCATGTGTAACACACGGCCTAACCATCTCAATCGATGTAACTGCTTCACAAACTCGCTGACTGTTTTTCCCTCCTCCTTACCTAGCACTCGACCGACGCCTAACCAATTCAGTATTATTCACCCTATCACCTAACACAGAATGTAGATAGAACGCAGACACCTACGATCAAAAGACAGCTAGCCTTTTCATGTTTCCGACTTTTAATGACCATGTCTCATTCACAGTCAGCCATTAAGGAGGACGGATCGAACTGATGAGCAGTCCACACATCCTTTGATCAACAATCAGCCGGATATTATGTCCACTAAGCCAGAGATGGTGTAATTTGTTGGCATATGCCAAACCAGCCTTCTGTATCCGTACTGAGATTTCATCAGCGATCAAATTGCTGGAACTGGCCGATGCAGCTTCCCAAATAAGTGAAGTAGTGGTCAACACGCTCAGTCACCACTTCACTCCTTATCTTAAAGCTAGGAGTCAATGCAGTCCAGTTCTGTAACCTAATCATCTTACATTTGACAGCAGGGGCGAATCGCTTGCATGTCAAACATTCGAAGACTGCTGCTCAAGAAGTTCACAAGACTCTGCATTTTGTCAGCATCTTCACCCAGGAGGTCGAACTTACGACATGAATTCAAGAAGAGAACTTATCGACAAGAATTCGATTTTACAGATGCAAAGCAGTACTAAACAGTTAAATAACAATGTAATCACTTGTAGCAGACTCCTACTACTAAACACACAACTTGGGGTTTATCCTTCCGCATTCCGATAAAAATGAATACAAATTATACAATAAAAGCTACAAAAACCAAGTCAAAAAGTCAACACACTATGAGAACCGCTCCAACACAACCTACATCTCTTGACTAGTTGAGCTGACAATTGTGTTATAAGTAGGGAATTGGCAAAAGTTAGAATTCATATGCCACTGGATTTGGTCCCAGTGGCTGAACACTCGACAGGTTGCCTTTGTATAACCTGAATGTCCTGGGTTCGTTCCCTGGTGGAGTGATGTGTGCCTACTGCCTACCGCCAAACTAGGACGAAACAGCTGTTTAGTACTCCGTGGTCTTCGATGGTTGTCTGACCAAAGTCATTTAATAATTACACTTGGAAAATCAGAAGAAAAAGACCAAATGATCACAGTTACCTCATACTTTATTGTTTATACTGTGGGAATAAACTGAAGGAAATGAAAATCAAAACATACAAATATGTAGTTTTAAAACATACATGTACAAAGAACAATCTATATTACTTCATTACAATAAAAATTCTTTTAAAAAAAAGAAAAATAAACCTGAGGTTCAAAAGAAAAATAAACTTATATGGGTATGAGGACATCATTCCCAACTCCCTCAAACCAATATATTCTTTATCTCTTTCTTAATTAAATACATAAAACACATACACACACACAAAGAAGAAGTAATAACACTACACTTCACTAATCACTGTCATCATTATCACCAATACACTTACTGCGCACCGATTTATTTTCACGTCGTTTTGTAATAGAGCTATACGAAAGACCGGATGTCGATTTACTCGCATCAGGAGGCAGCGATAAGTCACCAGTGTATTTAATCACTTTACCAACAGCTAAACGCCATTCCAGCATAGCAGTAGAAAATTCATCATGACCACCAAGTTCATCAAAACCAATTATACGATCACATATCTGTTCATTTTTAACAAGTATTATTGTTGGTATAACTCGAACATTTAAGCGTTTTGTTAAAAATGGTGATTTCTCTGCATCAATCTTAACCATTCTACATTCAATATGTTTTGGTGCTAATATAGCCAGGTGTTTATCAACAATTTTACATCGAAGTGTTGACTCTCTATAAAAATGGCAAACAAGACCGAATGTTGATGTTTTGCATGCAGCGAAAAAATCTTTTTCATTTGCTAGTTCAGAATAAACACCATGTCCTGCAGCCAACCATTCAGAGCGTTGTTTTGATTCTTCTTTCATTTGTTGAATCCGACGTTGTCTTATTACTTCTAAGTCGTCTTCATTTAAATTATCCAAACGACTGATTTGTTCATCCAAAGTCTCTTCCAATACTTGTGCTGTTTTAATTAGTTGAGATTCAATCAACTTTTCAGAGGCAGACTGTAACTGTTGAGATGCTTGAGCCATAGTATTAGGCTAAAAAAAAGTGGAAATACTACTCATTTACTTAGATTCAAATATGAAGGGCGGGCTACTGTGTATTATTGTTGTTGTTAACGTGGGAAAGTGACTTAATGGCCCACACTGAATTAACGGAATCTATTTTGTCTGTATGTCAATAATAATTATAGATTTATATATCACAAACCTCTTCTAACTGCAAGTGAATAGCGAGTAACCCAGCACCAAAGACTAGTTATTTGACTGCGAGGCAATATGTGTTGTGTTTAGGTTTGTCTCCGGCATCTCACTCCTCTGCCCTAACTTCGATAAGTGGGTAGGGAATACCGTTCTGACCCAAAGAGAGTGAAAAGCCCGTGGGTGTAGAGACCAAGCATGAGACAATTCAGTCCAGAGCTAACCTTGGGATCAGGTTTTCTTCAGATTGCAGCCCGACACAACCAGGGACTTCCCTACAACTGACATTTACAAAAATAAGAAAATAATAATCCAGTGTAATGAAATAAGTACACCTCTCAAACCTACCCAACCGTTCGAATAGACAAGATATATTGACGATAAAGGATAGCGGCACAAATGGCTTATGGAGAGGCTGAGCACTTGAAGGTCACTTATGCAAGCTGTGATTGGTAGATTTCCCTTTGCGTAAACGTTGCGGCTAATACGTGCCTTACGTTACTGAGGCGGGCTTTGAAATAGCAATAATAAAAGCGGATAGACATTATATTTTCTAGCTTAAGGAACCAAGTTAACATGCTTATAAATTTCACAGATGTGAAAAGCATTAGATCCACTTACAAGGAGAATATTACTGGGTAACTTAATCAAAGAAGTATAAAGTTTGAAGATTTTATCTCTTTCAGTTAATTGTAACGGATGGATAAGAGTCACTTGTATAATATTTGCTTTTTATAGAAGAGAAAGTGTGACAGGTGATTTTGAAGTTACACGATTCCTGAAATCTATCGTGGAATATATGGACGAGTAATCTATAGAATTTCACCAACTCTGTGGTTGTTCCTTGCCTTGTTCACATATTCACTGTGGCTAAGATTAGGAATTGTTCACCAAAGGTAAGAATAATTTACCTGACATGTATACATCTTCAGATATTTCTCAATACGGCCGAAGGCATTCGAAGGAATACAATCTCAATCTCCGCTTGAAAAGTTCACATCCAGTTTCTGCGAACGAAACTGGTGGTGACGAAAACTGCAAGACTGGTCCAACACCACTAACAACGGAGGCAAAATGACACAGATGTTGCGGATAGAGTGTTTGGTGGACTTTATGATGACTATGATGCAGCTATAAAAAACTCTACAGCTGCGATTTTTTCACTGGATTATTATTAACTGTTTTTAGTGCATATATGTACTCTTTTATTCTGAGTCATTTTTAACTTGACTGATTATTGTTTCCTTACAAATATATGCATTTATGTCAACTAACTTTGTCTCTTTTACTTATCATTTTGAGGACATTGCAGAGTTAACGAGAATGATAGGCAACGTATTAATACTTATGTAAAATGCGTCAGTCATAAACTGTTATTACTTCCTCAATGCGTCATCAAGCCTTGCGTAAAATGTTTCAGTTCCGTATAAGATTAATATTCAAGATTGTTAAGAAGGTAGCCGTCAAATATGTGTTCGTACTGTAATAACGAAACAAAGTCTAGCAAACGTAGGTTCTATATGCAGACGACATGTATTAGTAGTCCAGGCACTTCAAGTACACAATGCGACGTGTGTCCCACTTATCACAAATACTCTGTTATTATTATGTTGCGTTTAACACCACTATCTCGAAGGGTATCATTAGGTAATAAGGAGAAAACTACATTACTTTTCTTGTGTTATCATTTCGTATCAAAAGGCTCTTACATGATCACACCAACACTTAGACTCGTGTATTAATGCAACTAATTAGTTGACTACATCACTAAACTTCGTTGATTATTTTGCTATCATGAAATACTGTGACGCATTAAATAGGCCTTTGTTGTGCATATCGCCTGTTTAAGATTTACTAACGAAAGCAATTACTCAAAAGCGATAACAGTACTCCATCGTGACAAAATTCAGCAACGTGTGAATATGCCATTTTACGAATATTACGTCTTCTACATTGGCATCACTTTGCAACTCGACAGACACTAAGTATTAATGGAGCAAAATTTGTAAAACAATATTTATTTCGATAAATACATCATTAATATCGCAAAAATTCCATCATTTACACAAATATTATCGTTTTTAATCCCAATTAGAATGTCTAAATGTATTGAGTGATTGCGGGATTGAAGACCATAATCTGGAAATTAAAAATAAACATTCGGTCAAGGTGTGATGAGTTAAATAAATAAACATATAATACAGTACGTACTAGTTAAATGACTATCTCTTCACCGTTATCTGACGAAATAACCAACTCAATTTCCTTTATTTCTGAGCAATTTGGTAAAAATCATGAAATTATAATTACCTCGATATTTAACCCTTTTCTCATCATATACGTAAAATAAACTTCAAAATTTGTAATTATTTAGCATTTTCTATCATAATTGACATTTTTCAATGAATTGTTTCATTTCTTATGCATCTCGAGATGTCAATTCGATGAAAAAACAGCATTTCGTCAACACAATGAAAACGATTACTTTTCTCACTTTTTACACGTTTTTTCGTTAAAATATGATTTTTAAAATGCATTTCTGTCGAAAAAACCACTAAAAACAACGTAGAATAGCCTAAACACAACACCACGATAACACCTTAAAACTGCAGCAATCAGCTGATTTGTGCCTCTATCCTCTACCGTGCCGATAAAGGATAGCGGCACAAATGGCTTATGGAGAGGCTGAGCACTTGAAGGTCACTTATGCAAGCTGTGATTGGTAGATTTCCCTTTGCGTAAACGTTGCGGCTAATACGTGCCTTACGTTACTGAGGCGGGCTTTGAAATAGCAATAATAAAAGCGGATAGACATTATATTTTCTAGCTTAAGGAACCAAGTTAACATGCTTATAAATTTCACAGATGTGAAAAGCATTAGATCCACTTACAAGGAGAATATTACTGGGTAACTTAATCAAAGAAGTATAAAGTTTGAAGATTTTATCTCTTTCAGTTAATTGTAACGGATGGATAAGAGTCACTTGTATAATATTTGCTTTTTATAGAAGAGAAAGTGTGACAGGTGATTTTGAAGTTACACGATTCCTGAAATCTATCGTGGAATATATGGACGAGTAATCTATAGAATTTCACCAACTCTGTGGTTGTTCCTTGCCTTGTTCACATATACACTGTGGCTAAGATTAGGAATTGTTCACCAAAGGTAAGAATAATTTACCTGACATGTATACATCTTCAGATATTTCTCAATACGGCCGAAGGCATTCGAAGGAATACAATCTCAATCTCCGCTTGAAAAGTTCACATCCAGTTTCTGCGAACGAAACTGGTGGTGACGAAAACTGCAAGACTGGTCCAACACCACTAACAACGGAGGCAAAATGACACAGATGTTGCGGATAGAGTGTTTGGTGGACTTTATGATGACTATGATGCAGCTATAAAAAACTCTACAGCTGCGATTTTTTCACTGGATTATTATTAACTGTTTTTAGTGCATATATGTACTCTTTTATTCTGAGTCATTTTTAACTTGACTGATTATTGTTTCCTTACAAATATATGCATTTATGTCAACTAACTTTGTCTCTTTTACTTATCATTTTGAGGACATTGCAGAGTTAACGAGAATGATAGGCAACGTATTAATACTTATGTAAAATGCGTCAGTCATAAACTGGTATTACTTCCTCAATGCGTCATCAAGCCTTGCGTAAAATGTTTCAGTTCCGTATAAGATTAATATTCAAGATTGTTAAGAAGGTAGCCGTCAAATCTGTGTTCGTACTGTAATAACGAAACAAAGTCTAGCAAACGTAGGTTCTATATGCAGACGACATGTATTAGTAGTCCAGGCACTGCAAGTACACAATGCGACGTGTGTCCCACTTATCACAAATACTCTGTTATTATTATGTTGCGTTTAACACCACTATCTCGAAGGGTATCATTAGGTAATAAGGAGAAAACTACATTACTTTTCTTGTGTTATCATTTCGTATCAAAAGGCTCTTACATGATCACACCAACACTTAGACTCGTGTATTAATGCAACTAATTAGTTGACTACATCACTAAACTTCGTTGATTATTTTGCTATCATGAAATACTGTGACGCATTAAATAGGCCTTTGTTGTGCATATCGCCTGTTTAAGATTTACTAACGAAAGCAATTACTCAAAAGCGATAACAGTACTCCATCGTGACAAAATTCAGCAACGTGTGAATATGCCATTTTACGAATATTACGTCTTCTACATTGGCATCACTTTGCAACTCGACAGACACTAAGTATTAATGGAGCAAAATTTGTAAAACAATATTTATTTCGATAAATACATCATTAATATCGCAAAAATTCCATCATTTACACAAATATTATCGTTTTTAATCCCAATTAGAATGTCTAAATGTATTGAGTGATTGCGGGATTGAAGACCATAATCTGGAAATTAAAAATAAACATTCGGTCAAGGTGTGATGAGTTAAATAAATAAACATATAATACAGTACGTACTAGTTAAATGACTATCTCTTCACCGTTATCTGACGAAATAACCAACTCAATTTCCTTTATTTCTGAGCAATTTGGTAAAAATCATGAAATTATAATTACCTCGATATTTAACCCTTTTCTCATCATATACGTAAAATAAACTTCAAAATTTGTAATTATTTAGCATTTTCTATCATAATTGACATTTTTCAATGAATTGTTTCATTTCTTATGCATCTCGAGATGTCAATTCGATGAAAAAACAGCATTTCGTCAACACAATGAAAACGATTACTTTTCTCACTTTTTACACGTTTTTTCGTTAAAATATGATTTTTAAAATGCATTTCTGTCGAAAAAACCACTAAAAACAACGTAGAATAGCCTAAACACAACACCACGATAACACCTTAAAACTGCAGCAATCAGCTGATTTGTGCCTCTATCCTCTACCGTGCCGATAAAGGATAGCGGCACAAATGGCTTATGGAGAGGCTGAGCACTTGAAGGTCACTTATGCAAGCTGTGATTGGTAGATTTCCCTTTGCGTAAACGTTGCGGCTAATACGTGCCTTACGTTACTGAGGCGGGCTTTGAAATAGCAATAATAAAAGCGGATAGACATTATATTTTCTAGCTTAAGGAACCAAGTTAACATGCTTATAAATTTCACAGATGTGAAAAGCATTAGATCCACTTACAAGGAGAATATTACTGGGTAACTTAATCAAAGAAGTATAAAGTTTGAAGATTTTATCTCTTTCAGTTAATTGTAACGGATGGATAAGAGTCACTTGTATAATATTTGCTTTTTATAGAAGAGAAAGTGTGACAGGTGATTTTGAAGTTACACGATTCCTGAAATCTATCGTGGAATATATGGACGAGTAATCTATAGAATTTCACCAACTCTGTGGTTGTTCCTTGCCTTGTTCACATATACACTGTGGCTAAGATTAGGAATTGTTCACC